AAATTAATAAAAAAAAATAAATCAGTGTCCCGTCCCGTCCCGTCTGTTCAATTTTTATATTTTGCCACCATGAGACATAATTTCTTTCATGACCTTGGCCATCTTCTCCCCCACTACCATGTGTTCCATCGAACTCACTCTTGACCCTCGCACCAAGCTAGCCTCACCCATCACCTGGTCGAGGCCGTCAAATTCATCCTCTTCCATGACATCCTCATCGTTACTTCGGATTTCGCGAAGGTGCATGAGGTTTGATACATTACTGGGAGCCCACAGATAGTCGCACAAATGCCTTTGTTCGATTGGAAGTAAAACCTCCCTGAGTAATATTGACAGGGGTGCATCTAGTGATCTGTGGAGTACTATTTGTGGTGAAATGTGTACTTGTTTCATGTGTAAGCTGTGAAAATGTGCGTGTTCCACTTTAATCACATTTAGCATTCTCAATGTGTAATCCAAACATTCGGGTGACGTCAATTGTTTCGACCGACCAAGTTTAATGATCGATTCAAATACTGAGGCAAAATGTTCTAAGAATGGGAAACATCTATCGTCTTGCCTGGCTTCTGACGGAAACCTGGCGCATGAACGTCTTGACGATATTGCGTAAGATTCGAATTTTGATACCCAGGCGTTCAATAAATGCACATTGCCAAACTGTGACGGCGGAGGTGTTGGTGGTAATGTCGGAAAAGGAAGTTTAACGTGTGAAGACATTAATGACTTGGTGGGTGATGGTGGTGACTGTGGCGATAACCTGCCATTATTAGCGACGTTTCCTTGTAACGACGTAAAATGTGGTATCACTGGAGAAAGGGAAGGTGACGTGGACAACGGTGGTGAGGGAAGTTCGCCATTAGAGGGTCGTGTGGATGGACTTCTTGGTACGGGAGATGGTGACTTGGAGGAAAAAGGAATAGGATGTCCGTCTTCGCGTTGCGTCGTTAATGAAGTAGACGCGTCCGAGGATATCGACGTGTCACTCTGGTTAGGTTTTAACGCCAGCGAAGAAGGTCTACTACCAAAACTTCCACTACCTCTACTGCTCGTCCTCCGCCGTAGGTGACTCGATCGACTACTTTTTCTCGAGGATCTTCTTTGCAGTGGAGGACCTCGTTTACTTGGTGTCCGTGACAAACTTTTTTGCGCTGGTACCTCCAGTAAATTCGTAGAGGACGAACTTGCTTCCACATGGGAAGTGTATTTTTCATGTAAGTTGGGATACGCTTCGATAAGCCTTTTCATCATTTCCTTATTTCTATCGCGATTGCATTTTCTAACCAACCATTTCCAGCATGCCTCAATTCCCTCGTGAAACCCAATTTCATAACACACCGACAAACAACCCACACCTTTTGCCAGGTTGTCGGCCAATTCGTGGTCCCAATTTTTGGTGTACATTAATCTCAATGTGCAATGGAAACTGACCAGGTCCTCCTCGTTAACGCGAGTCGGCAATTTGACGATTATTTGTTTCTCTCTCAGCACGTTAGACGTCGACGAAGAAGAAGCAACCGCGGAGGTTTGTGAAAGTTGATCCTTGAAGAATTGTGATTGAAATAACACTATGGAGTGTAACCTTAATTCGGATGGAATTCCTGCTCGGGTGGCCAGCACTCCGTGATCCTCAAATGATAGTCTGACGTCACTATATATTTGACCGTTGTCAAATAGTAGCTCGCCTACATTCGGATACTTTTGCTGTATTAGAGAGTGCCGAGATCTTCGAAAACTCGAAGACCTCTTAGACGGTCTATTGTCGAAACCCGGATTCTTGTCGAACGACGAATAACCGAGGTCATTGGTGGATGCACTCTTAAAGTTGGGAGGATGTTTCCGTGAAGCGTCCAGTAATATGCTATCAGAATCTGAAGCTGTTAAGAAGTCTATGTCAGTGTTTGACGTTATGAGCGTTCTGAAGTCTTCCTCACTGGTCGGAGGTGTTTTCAGGGACATTTTATTGGGTAGGTGGTTCGTCTACTTCTCTCAAGTCAACAAAATGAATCTATATCTTTCTTTCTTTCTTTCTTTCCTTCTTTTCTTGGTTATTCGTTTTTGTATCGTTTTTTTTTTTCCTCTAGATTATGAGTACGCCTGATTTTGCTATTTAATTGCGAAATATGTAATTTGTTAATTTGATTGACGATGAATGTTTGTTTTATTAAAGTGGAAACACGCTGTATTTAAGAAGAAAAAGATGGGTGGATGTAAATCCAATTCTATATAGGCAGGAAAAATTTTTTACTCATTTAAATAGCAAGAAAAAGTTAGGCTGCAAACAAAAAAAAAGGGCTAATTTGTCAAGTACGATTTGTTGTATTTTTTTTGTACTGTAAGGTGCCAACACAGAATATTTATCATTCTTAATGAGTAACTATTTTTTAAAGTGAATAAAATAAATACTAATTAGGTCGTGGCACACATGCGTGGCGAGATAACCGCTACCACCATATTTATCGTTATATAAAATTAAATATATTGGATGCTAAATTTAGTTTGCATGACTGACTACGTATTAGGAATGCGGAATGAATTTTCACTGGTAATAAACATAAAACCCAATGAGGCATTTTTGATGCTGTGTGATTATTGTTGACATTAACAGGACCCGAGGTCACTTTGAAACCAGAACAGAGAAAGTTAAACCATTTATACGCATGGGAAGTGCGTATCACAAGATTTTCCCAAGGTTCCCGCCACTTAAATCCAAACTCCCCCCAGAAATTCCAACAAAAGAAAAGAAACAATGTAAACATAAGTCATTTCGAGGTCATGCGTAAGGAGTATCGCATGGGACCGTTACGGATTGTCATTTGTAAGAAGCAAAGATGTACACAAATACCGTATGTTAAAATCATATATACTGTATTTTAAATCACAAAGAAAAAACAATTGATATTCCAACTAATATTTCCTCCGGATTTATGAAATAAGGTCTTGTGTGTTTTTTCTTTTTTAATGGACTCACATGATAAGGTTATTCGAATTTGATTATCGAAACATAAAATTGGCGTCAACGACGAATCCGCATTTTTTTTTTTTTTTGACTTGACACATGAAAAAATTCAAAAAAAAAAAAAAACTCAGTTTGCAAACATTTCTTTTTTTTAAAAGAAAAAATTTTTTTTTTTGAATTCGTGATTTGATAAGAATATGCAAACCCGACGCTTTCATACATTCATATACAATCTACACTGTATACATACACGATCGCTTGTTCTCTGAAAACGATCAATAAGTAACTCGGAGTCGTGATTATGGACAAATAATTATAATAATACATACTACCTAACGTAGGTAAGACTTAAATTTTTAAATCATAAACTTGGGATAACAACGTATGCCAATTCATTCTTAAAAAATAAGAACAAATTAATTAAAAAAAAAAAATAATAATAATGTTAATAATTTTTTTGCCTTAATATTGGAATTTATAAAATTGTTGAATGCGGTAGGGACATCATATTGCCGCGGACGCTTACAGTGTATTATTTAAAATTGGTCAGAGTAAACAAATTTTATCATGTATCAAATAAACAAAGTGAAAGTGACAGATTACAAAATGCTACAATTTGGAATCATGCGTAGAAAAAAAAAAATAAAGATTATTATCATGTAACTAGAAATTATTGTAAAAAATTAATAAATAGAGGTCAATACAGTTTGCAGTATATGTTGTAAAAATTAGAATCGAATTATTTAAACTTTTCAATTTAGATACTGTATCAGCCTCATCACCTTTTAACAACACTTTTAACAAAAACATAACATCAAATAAATAATATCGTAACATTTAAATTATTAAAAGTTATATAATATTTTTATGATGTATTTTGTATATAATATAATTTATTATTTTATTTATCAAGTATTTATATTCATATCAATTAATTATTTTATACGATCATTTATAATTTTTTATGTTATTTTACATAAAAAAAAAAAATAAATTTAAAAAGAATTTCAAAAAAAAAAAATCAATATAACATAATATATTATTAGTAAAAAAAATCAATGGATTAAAATTATGTAATATAATTTTATATATGAAATAATTTTTTATATACTTATCTAATTAAAAATAAAATCAATAAACAAGTTTAATTTTATGAGTTTATAATTATAAATAAGTTTAAATTAATAAAAAAAAATTACAATTTTTAAATATCAAACAAAAATTAATAAAGTTTATAAAAAAGATTCTTTAAAATATTTTGTATAAAATAAATATATTAATAAATTTTTCTAAAATATTAATATTATCTAATTTTGTAAGCAAATTTGTCTATAATACAATTTCAAAAATAATTTTTTTTTTTTTTTTTGTAGGTAAACATCATTTCTTTATTTGATTTGTATATAGCATGGTATATATCGTGAAAGAAACAACATCTCTCATATGTTAGTACAATGAGTTAAATGCTAGCTTGCCTACAGTAACTATATGACTAATATTGAAAAGAAGGTTTAAAACAATATATCTTGCCGGATAGCACTGAGCAGCTATGAATACCTACTCAGCATCAGGGGAAATCGAATTAATATTAGCAGATAGAGTTATTAAGCTATAAATACATTTGGAGTAGTTATATTTAGATTGGATGAATAAATTAGCAACAGTAGAAGGTAGGTTAATGATAATGTTTTCTTGCAGATTGTTGAAGTTGTCTTTGATTTGCGAGGTTTTTTTGGTTTCTGGGTTGGTGGAGTTGATTAAATTATGCAACTTAGCATGGTTCCACTTGATTCCAGTAAGAGGTGAAGTGTTGGCTGTGGAGCAACATGGTTTCCAAATTAGATCATGTAACAGGGTTAAAGATTTTGTTGTTGCCTTGATCCAGTTGGTAGAGGTTAAGGTGGAGAAGATTTTGTCTATGATTTCACATAACAATTTAACGGCTTGCCATATGTGAGAGATTGGTTTGTGATTATTGTCTGGATAGAGAGTTTGATTAATGGTTTTTATAATTTGTTCCATTGCTTGTAATGCTTCCGGACATTTGAAAACATGTTGAATGTCTTTAGTGCAAAGCTCACATTGTGGGCATAGAGTGCCTGGATATTGGTTAGGATATAGTTGGTGGAGTATGAGGTAAGTTGGAAGGGTTTCCGAGAGCAGTTTAACTCTAAAGGCTACTAGGATGCTGTACTTGTTGGTATAGAATTTTTTGATGTTTTTGTTGGATTGATTGATGACTTTTAGACCGTGTGGGGTATATGTTCATCCAAACGTTTGGACAACTGAGGAGCTTTCATATACCATATAGTCTCTGGTGATGCTGAAAAATTTCTTGCATCATCTGACACTACTTTCTGTTTTCAAAAAAGAA